CCCGCGCGAGTCCCCGCCGGACCCGGAAGACGCCGGTCCAGTTCGTTACGTGAAGTGTGTGTCTGTTTCCAGCCCTTCGGGCCTCCCCGAGCCGCTCCGCCCTCCCCGAGTCGCTGTGACCCCCCCTTCTTTCCTTTCTCTGTTGTAAATACCCCTCGCGGAGGAAATAGTTTTGCTAAGAAATAAAAGTGACTATTTTACTAGGACTTTGTTCTCGGTTATTCACCCGTCCCCTTGGGCCTCTGCGGCCCTTCCCAAGGGGCGGTGAGGCCCGTGCCAGCCACAACGCGTCGACCTTCTCCCTCTCCTCCAGCCCAAGTGAGGGTCGAACGGGGAGCAACTGCAGCCACTTTGGGGGTGGAGTGTGGCTCACACCCAGGAAGAAACACGAAATTCTGCTTCCAGTCTGGGGGGGGTAAAGTTATCTGTCCCCAGGGCTTGACAGAGAGAAGGTAGGGGCCTGTGATGTGAGAGTCAGCTGTCTGGGAGGAGCCCGTGGAGCTCCCCAAAAAAAAGGCACCACAGAGGTGCCCCAGCCCCAGCTCCTAGGAGGCTTTTCTTTTTCCATGATGGGGGGCACTTAGCCAGTGCCGGTGGCTTCCCCTCAGCCCATCCCCATTCACTCTAGTTTTGGCCATTTCTTAGCCTTTCTCTAATCACAGACACCCTTGAACTCCTGATTCCCCTCCCCTAAATAAAACCGAACTAGGTCAATGAAACCTCCCACAAATAAATCTTAGAGGAGTGGACCTCCCTGGGTGGAGGCAGCTCAGGGCTCCGGAGGCAGCCTGTTCCAAGAGGCTGAGCATGAAAATCTGGCCTAGGGCAGCCAGATAAGATACGGGACAACTACATTTAAATTTCAGATAAACGATGGATGTGTTTTTAGAGTCCAGTATGTCCAAATGCTGCACGGGACACATGATTCCCCCAAATGGCGTGTTTATCCGAAATTCAAATTGAACCGAGCATCCTCTGTTTATTTGCTTCCCCAGTCTGGCAACACCAGTTCTGGGGAAGAGGTTAAGGGGCATCCAAGCTGGCCTCCCAACTGACCGGCGCCAGCTGCCCTGCCGTCACAGAGCCCAAGTCACGCGCTGTCCAGAAATGCTTTTTCTTTTATTTCAGAAGAAAGGAAATAGAGGCAGACATTTCCCCCACCCCGCCCTCCTAGCTCCTGCCTCACCCAGAACTGGAGTGAAGGAGTGACAGAGCCAATGTCCCATAACGCCCGCCCTTTCCCCGACCCTTCCTTCCTTCCTTCCTTCCGAGTGGCAAGGTTAGAAAAAAATTAACTATGTTTTCCTCCCCCTGGCACTGGACAGAGGCCCTCCTGCAGCCAAGAAGGAAGAGGGCAGGTGAGGGAAAAGGCCTTCCCTCTCACTACACCGAACGCCCCCTCCCAGGCAGAGAGGCTGCCCTGGCTGGCAAGGGGTGGGTGGAGGTAGGTTAAGGGGCAGGGGGAGAGAAGAGCCCTGAAAACCTTTTCCCTTTAACCTGACATATTTATATATTTACAGTCATGAGGGAGGGGAGGACGTCTGGGGTAACGTTGAGAATGAAAGCCAAATAGCACCCCCGTCTTGATCACATTTTCCTGCCTCCCAGCTCCTACAACCTTCGGTGGGAACCGGGGGA